CGAGACCACTTGTTTCTGCTTGGAAAATGAAAGTCAAGGTTGCAGGCAGTCAACTCGTTAACCCACCTGTTGCGCCGCAGGTCTTCCTCAAGCTGCTGAACCTTACAGTGGCTGGGCAAATGACAAGGTCTTACTCAAAGGTAGCGCTGGCCAAACCTGTGATGTCAACAAACCAATTAGATTGTTCAAGAGGAGATGACTGTTGCCCAAATGCCGTAAGACCATTGTAGGGTCAAGGAGCGACTTAGGATCAGGGTCCATTTGGCCATGCCTCCAAATCTTGGGACAATGAGACAAGGATTGGTTGAAAAACATGCTACAATGACTCCGGCACCAGGCAGGGCAACCTGCGACATTTGATCATGTGTTTCATTTTTTCATGTTTGGTTTTGAATGGTTTTGATATGTTTTGACCCACCGGCTGCGATGGCTTTGACCCTCTCTTTTTGTGGTCTTAGGCCCATCTCAGCCGAGCACAGCAAGGCACATCTGAGTGCACGACCTGCGACATAACGCAGCATGTGCATGCAATGTACCTGGCTTGGTTTATTATGTCAAACTGAAAGGTTGAAGAGTTCCTGGACGAGCAACACCTTGTTTGATATTGTTTGATGCACCCATCTTGTAATTTCCCAAGAGGACAACCTGTACGTCCTTGGGCATGGGTCAAGACCTTGTTTGAGCAGCTTTGATTGATCCATATTGATCCCTTTGCAGACCATGTTTGATGCTCGCGCAGAGCCATACACACCCAGAGAACATTGATCATTAGAGTAGTCATTAGAGGATATTGGAGGTGGATCGGCAACAGTGATGGCACGTGCCTTGGCACCGGCAGGACCTCCGTACGAAGTCGCGGCTCCGCATCCGACAAAACGTCTGGCGAAAGTGATGTCAACGAGGCCAACAACGTGCAGTTATTAATGGAGGAAGGGGGGGACACGCTAGTATTGCTGTTGCCTGGGTGCTGGATTCTTGGTTGTTCCCGGGTGGCGGGAGGCTTTGGAAGAAGAAGTTTTCAACATCATGGATATGCTATGTGCGGAGCTGAGAAATGCAAAGTTGGTTCGTTCACAGATGCTGGAAGATACCTCCAGGACTGCCCAAAAGTATGAAGGGTGGTCCGGGTGGTTGAGATTACTTCCAAAATCAAAATAAATAACAATAACCTCGCTCGATGTGGTGCTGGAACGCGCGTTCGCGTGTGAGACCATGTGATTGAATTTGGATATTGGGTTGATCGCAGGTATGCAGATTGAGGAACCCCAAGCAGCCTAGATCTTCGGTCTCACTGATGGCCTTCGCATCCATCACATGGAATTCGTTCGCAATATGTCAGTGTTGAGTAGGAACATATCGGACAACACAAGCACGCGCAAAAGAGGTTGAAAGCAGCTGTGGCCGTGGTTGACTTTTGCTCTGTAGTCTGTAATTGTAACCGTTGTAACCTCCAACAAGCAATCAGGTAGACAGGCGTTCACAATTCATTTGCATGGCACTCTTGCTGGGAAACTAGCACAGGCCACCAGAGCAACAAGACAAGATAGTCACAGGATTCAACCGATGCTCGTAGGAGTGTGGGATTCCCAGCTGCCTTGTGATGTGAATTTCGGGATCTCCAGACTGGAGAAGGTCCCCGGTCTGACTGCGGCGTTCCCCCAAACGGGGGCGATGTCAAAAAAATGGGCCTTGAAACGCCGTGATGGTCAGACAAGGGAGTGCGGAGGTCGAGGCATGTGCATCTCCAGGCGGCGGCCTTCAAGCACCTATATAAATGCTTGGTCCACTCCACTCAAAAACTCAAGGCATTGTTTTAGATAATTTAGATAATCGTTTAATTGCATATTTTGTGATGTCTATAATGTGTCCGTCGTTATTTGCAATGATATATATATATATTTAATACAAATTATATAGTAGGTATTATATATATATATATTGTACATTTTGCACGGAGGAATTGCAGGGGAGATCCCTTGGAGTAAACCTGCTGTTTTCCTGGTATTTGCTTGTCCTGGCCGTCGCCATGGGCAGCGTTGTGGCGACGGAGACCGAGCTGAAGGGAATGGAAGAGCTTGGAGAACGGCTGAAGAGGGCGCCTTGGACCACATTGAATCCGTACGGCGTGCCGTACGGCCTTTGATTTTGATGGTTGGATCCAGCACCCCACACTAAGGGTGGATGATAGGGTCATATTTCATGACAAATTGTAATGAGTTTTGCTAGTAGTTCTGCTATATACTGTAATTGCATGCCTGGTCACCCACCAGCTCAACAGGGCAACAGGGATGCTTTAAGAGTTTCTTAGCCTGTGCACCACATGGTTTGATGAAACACGGCTGTTTCAAAAGGAAGGATCGGATAGTAGTCAGTCTGACCAATTCAAGCCTTGTGGCCTTCAAGCCTCAGATGGCACCAAACCCGCAAAGTGGTTGACGTGGACCCGGGAATGGATGTCGTCCGAGGTTGTATCCGGGTTTGAAACTACTGCAATGTAAACTCTAACTTGTGAGGTATTTGACGGAGATGATGAACGAAGATGTTTTCATATTGTTTGCATCATTGTTCTAGGGTGCTTGAGTATTGGAAGAAACCTATTGTTACTTTAATGTGTTCGGATCTCGAAGGGTATTTGTTTGGAAGAAGCAGAGATGTTGGAGGTGATACCCACTAGATCCCACTAAATGTTTTTTTTGCGCATAACTAATCTCCTTTCCCTCTCCCAGAAGTATATAAATAATTCCATCGGACAGCAAGAAGGATCCAACAAAAGGGTTCCTAGGTTGGAGGCCATTCCTATTAGAGCAGCCACTACTTCGCCCTTGGACGCCAAGGTCTCACCCTGGAGCGATCTCATCCATCGCACCCACCAGCGGCTGATCCTGCGCAATGAGCTGGCGGAGCTCTGCTGCACGGATCTCACAGAGGAGGAGACCTTGCAGGCGGGTCCTGGCGCCAACGGAGATAAGATGAGGAAAGTGATGAGGAACTTGGGTGAGCCCGTGAGCCCCTTTCAAATGAAAACCAATTGGAAGTTGGAAGAAGTCCATTCTGATCAACCAGTACATTCACCAAGAAAGCAAATCGATGTTCAATCCTTAAGCTGTAATGTATGTTTCATATTGTGTTTGGGTGCTGTTCTCGCGAGGTCTTGACCAATTCGGAGGCAAAGCTCTTGGAGCTCAGCGAGTTGCCTGAAAGCTTTCACGAGCTGTGCCCAAAGGCAGAGGAAAGGGCTGAATGAAGGGAGACGAGAAGGTACACTTGTAGATCCCCACCAGGAGACCAAACAAGGTAGGTACTGTAGATGTCCACTTTGCGGTCTATGTAATATGATAATATGGCCCAAAGGGTCTATATAATGCTGTTTGTTTAGACACGATTGGTAACAAAGTTTTACTACACCCTTACAGTAGGCCCTTCAGACAGTATTTAGAATCCCTTGTATGGGGGCAAGTCGGACACTGTCCCATTTTGGCATCTCATTGGTGCCTTCTCCGTCTCCCAGGGCCGCACATAGGGATTGAATGTTGTGCACTCTTATTCCATGAAAGTGGAGCACATCCCCTTTGTCCTTCGGAACATGTTGTCTTCATCCACCAAACCGCGCTGGTTTGCAGGTGGCAGCGCCTGAAAGCGCCCAAGTGCCCATCAGCTGGGCCAAGGAGCTCCTAGAGAAGCAGCCAGGCTTGAAAGAGACACGCTTTCATGCGGTGCCAAAGCGGCTCAAGGAGGCCCCTTGGGTGGAGGGTTCGCGGGGGTCCGGGGGTTCTGTTCGGTGGCAGTTCGATTGATGAGCTTGGGAGTCCGGCTCCTAGGGTGAGTCCTTGGATGTTTGGGTGTTCAACTTTAGTTCAAAGGTCACCTGGCTATAGGAGCCAGCGTGTGCGAAGTCTCCCAGAAACTAAAGCACCTTTGCATCCAATGGAAAGGATTGGGCCCTGATGTGTTATACAATGCTGATGCTACAGCAAAAGAAGCATCCCACCCAGTTCCTCCCAAGTTGCCGTTTTCGATGCTTGGGAGGAAGACTTCTGGGACCGCTACTTTGCTGCGGTCTTTCAAATTCTTGAAAGAGAACTGCTTGAGCTAAGATCTCAGGATGCAAAAAGTTCCGTGCACCTTCAGCCAGGGGGGGTAGGGAATCCGCGTTCACTTGCAAAGGTATGCGATCACCACAGGCTGCAGTGGCTAGATTGTTCTATATATGACGTTCTTTGCAACTTCTCTCAAAACGATTACATGACATTGCCACGGATAGTTTTGTTGGTACTCACTTATTTCTTAAGTGAATCGTTGGCCCAAACCTACGCTTACCAGTCAGGATGCCCAACATGATCCCAAACCCTTCCCCCATCCCATCCCAGCCTTCTGAGCCTAAGTAGGCCACACACACACACACGCCAAGACCACCCACCACCTCACCCGACCATCTACCACCTGCACTGTCTCCCGCTTCTAGCTGCGCGCGGCTCCCGCCATGAGCATTTTCTCATGGCGGCGGGTCGCTTCTCACAGTTGGCGGGGGAGCTGCCGAGATCTTTGCCGAGGTCGCCTTTGCTGCCCTGGGAGGCAGTAAAGGCTATCGGAGGTCTAGGGCGACAGCAACGCTGGGCGGAGGCCCTGGCTGTGTTCTGGCCCTTGGTTAGACAAGAACGCGCCAATCTCATCGTGTGGAATAGCGTGATCAGCGCCTGTGCCGGAAGAGCTTGGGAATGGTCAGTGCTGTTGCTCTCGCTGCTGGAAGTGGATGCTGAGAATGAGGCAGATGCGATCAGCGCCTCGGATGCAGTGAGGCACACCGTAAAAAGAGATGGCAAGAGTTCTTTGCCAGATGTGGTGCAGTTCTGAACATGCTCGTGATATCGTTTGATAATTCTCACCTGCTGAGTTCAGACTCTTATTTGTTGGCGCGTTACTTGTTGTTTGCTGACGACCTCAAGGCTACAACACCGTGCTCACCGCTTTGATGCGCTCGTCAGAGATCTCCGCAGCTGTGCGGTTGTTGCACGAGATGCCAATGAGGCAGATCCTGCCGGACACCTGTTCCCCGGTTTTGCGGAATGGGTGAATTTTGATTCTCGTGGTTGAGCCTCCTGTTGTGGGAAGAGTTGTTGTTGTTTTTTTCTTCCGCCATCCAAGGTTCCTTCAACACGGTCATGGGCAGCTTGGCCAAAGAGCCGACACTTAGAATTCAATTGTGATGGATCAGGAGGGCTGTGGGGCTTCGTCCATTTTCGTCTCATCACATCTTGGTCAGTTCAGGTCTCGTGTAGACCCAGTTTGGCTTTTTAGTGAAATTTTAGTGGATTGACTGGACCTTCGATGTCAAATCCCAGGTGCGAAGCAAACGATTGCACCCGAAGTCGATCAGCTCGAAAAAGAAAGGATGGTACGCGAGGTACCAAGCCGCGCGGCCTTTTCGCAGGATCGAATCCGACCCGTCTTGAGGTGGTGAAAGGTTTGCGGTTCCATGAAAACATGACTCACCGCCCTGGGACCTAAGTGACATGCAGTCAACTTCACATGGGGGAAGAAGGGCTTGTCGGTGAGTCAACAACAGTCGTCACACCTTCATCTTGAAGGTTTCGACTTTCCAACCAGGTGCAAATGGCTGTGCGGAGACTCGTGCCTCCGGATATCTGGACACAGTCGGGCGGCAAAATGCGGCCACTGCGTTCAAAAAGATCTACGTTCCTCTGGTCACGGCCTTCGAGGGAGCTGCAGCGAGGATTGATGTGGAGCTTGCGACCATGCTTTGCCACGTAGATCCCACGGTGAAGTGGGCACTCCAGCCTATGGCTGTCCATCTCGACCAAGCATCGGCGCAGGATGGCTGCGGCTCGGTACATCAGCTCTCCAGCGTAATTCATGTTGGCAATGGCAAGGTCGGTGGTCTTCTTGTTTTCAATTGCAGCGGACTGGTACTCCAAGGCGCGCAGCTGCCATTCCTCAATCTCCGCCCTCAACCTGCGAGAAACAGGCGTCTCATCAGTTTGAGTCCAGGCCACGGTGCACATAGCTAAGGCTTGTACATGAACTTCAGCACGACTCCAGCGACCCAGCATGAAAAAGGTGCCGGCAAGCAAACAAAGCACTGTGCACAGCATCACCAGGAAGTTGTCCTCTCCAGCTAGGGGCTCTGACTCTGCAATGGTGTCCGCAGTGACACCTGGCAGCAGCAAAAGAACCATGGTCCACATCATGAGGTTCCGGAGGTAGTGCTCGTAGGCCGTCCAAGGCCAGCGCCCGCCATGGCTCGGAACTACAGTGTCGACGTTCAGCAACCACAAAGTGCTCCTCAGACACCAGGGCATACTCACAAGCCTCAAGCAAGTAGGAGACTGTGACATCCGTGACTGCCATGTGGGCATATTCAAGGTGGTTCACATAGGCAGGCATGTCATCGGGGAAGGTGTCATTCTCAGGGAGATCATTGCCAGCGGGTTGAACTGCTTGATGATGTTCATCCGTCAAGGGCGGTGAACTGAAAGTGCTCTCCTGCAGACTGGCTTTCAACTCATCTTTGGTTTTCTTCTTAGATCCCAGATGAGCTTCAGCTTTCCGTAGCGCAAGCGGTCAGCCAGCAAGCCACGGGCGCTTTCTTTTGTGAGGCCATCAGCCAGCTGCCTCTCAGATGACATCCATCTGAGGCTTCCTCCAAGTGCAAGGAGTCTTTCTTTCATCACTCGCACTTCAAGCGAGACACGCTTGTCCACCACGGAGTTGCCATAGCCTTCTCGATGAAACGAGTCATACAAGGCCTTGGCGTCGGTCACCATCGTTGGTTCCAGGGTGGACTTGCAGTCGAGCAACTCCTTGAGCTTCCGGCGAGGGTCGAGCAAACAGTTCCAATAGACACAAACATGCTCTAGTGCATCACATGCCTGTCCACCTCCTTGAGCTTCAGCGCCAAGCGACGATCAAGCAACTCTCGGAGTCTTCTGGCTCCTCCAGTCCAGGATATGGTATGCCCCTTCAACACCATCAGGACGAAGGAGGGACTTGTTGATCAGCAAAATGATGTAGCCGATCTGAGAGCTGCCATCGGTACGAGTGGCAAATGCTGCATCAAAGAAACAAAGGAGGTGAAGGTCCTGAACCTCGCCCAAGTGCTCATACACCAAGCCAACATCGGAGTTGTCCTTGCTGAACTTCAGAAGCTTGTTGCAGTCCATCAAGGTCTGATGGCCTTGGAGATCTGACCACTGAGGATCGAGGTGCTTCCCTGTAGATGTGGACTTGATTGAACTGCGGGCCATTGAAGGGAGCCAAGCAATGCTCGAAGTTGGGTCAGGTCACGCTCCAAGATGATCTCGATGACATCACGGCGCTTGTCGACTGTGATGGGCTTGATCTTCTTCATATAGCTGTCCTGTTCGATCTTGTAGCCATTGGTGTCCGTGAGTTTGATGTCACAGACACAATACGACAGACCATCACTATCTTGCCCAGTCTTCCATTCCCTGAAGTTGAAGGTGGTCTTCAGCTTGGAGATCATCGAGCGATAGGCCTGAGAATCATCGGAGCCGCAGCCCAACATGTCATCAACATGCATGATGATCAGTCCACAAAGGCCACAGGGTCCCAGCAAGTGTGGCTGTTCTTGGTCCATGACGAAGCTTGGATTGAGGTCAGCTTCATAGGCCAGAAAGCAGCATGGATCTTGAGCGTGTTGTTTGAGACCCATGTCCAACAGTTTGTCCACAGCAGCCATGTACCACGATCGGGGAGCATCGATCTGACCATAGCACGGCTTCAGGAGGAGCATCCGTGTGTCGGATGGGGCTCCCAGGAGTTCGAGGCACTCTGGAGGTAACTGCGCCCACAGTTTTCTGCTCTGCGGTTTTCCTTGTAAGAAAGCGGTGGCAATGTCTGATGTCCAAACCGGCCACTTCATCGTCGCAGCCAGACTCAGTAAGCAGGAGCGAGAGAGCCGTGTCGTGGTCGGGGATGAAGTGGGCACAGTGCCATCCCAAGCGTCTGGATCCATGAAGCCACGGACGATGAGCCTTGCTTTTGCTCTTGGTGTTCCGTCCGGGTTCTTCGACCACTTCAACAGCATCCGGCTCGTCAACGTTCGAGCTGGTTCAGCTTCTCTCACGCTCTCGAAAGTCCAAACCTGGTTCTCAAAGAAGGACTTGAGCTCTTTCACCTTGGCGGCCTTGAATTGAGCCCTCTCATCAGGAGTCATTGTTCTTTCAGTCAGGTTGTTCTTTTCCTTCTTGAACGCCTTAGCATGGCGCTGCTTGGTCATCTTGCCCATCTGACAGGCACCAACAAGTGGTTCCTTCACATACATGGCGAGCTCCTTCCGCACATCACCCTTGATTTGGAACACAGTCACACCTGTCCATGAAGAGCTCGTGGGAGGTGAAGTGCACGTACCATCATCTGTGAACTGCTGACAGTGACCATTAGTGGCACAGACCACGGTGACCCGGACATTGTCCAGCTGGGCAGCTATGAATGGTGCATCCTTTGGAAGGTGTGCCAAACTCATCTTCTGTCGACGTGGCGCAACATGATGTCTGATCATGCACCCAGCGCGAACTTCCCAGTAGTCGATGGGATATTTTCGCAATTGGAAGTAGCCTTCTTCAAAGGTCCAGCCACGAGGCAGGCAATTGGCCACCAGCTCGTCAATCATGAAGTCTTGTGATGCAAGGGCAGAGTCTCGCTCTGCATCAGCAGCTGATGGTGGAGGCTCTGGTGCCGAGGAGGATGGAGCAGTTGGATACGGATCACTTGCTGCGTGTGGCCTGACACGCCAGGGACCAAAACTCAGGGTTTCCTGTCGATTGAAGCGATTTCGCCTTTCCTGGAATGTCTCAGCATCCACCGTGTCGTACAGTGCAGCTGTTGCTGGATCCAAGACTGGACGAAGTGGTTGCGCATGATGTGGTGTTGGCACTGTCGGCTCAGCTCCCGGCTCTGGAATGCTGGGAGGTGGAGAGCGTGACCTTCTTGAGGTTGGTGAAGCCGGCAAAGAATTGGGCACAGGTACTTCAGCAGCATGTGGTTCAGGGTGCCATGATTCCAGTCGGAGATGTAGGAGCATATCCTGAGTGTGCCGGAGAAGTGGGTTCATACTCTTCTGCCTGCAGATCATCATCCATAGGTGGCTGTAGACGAGGTCGATGAGCTGGTGGACCTTGTGTTGAATCATCGTCCAAGGAACCATGTGGATCATCCAGCTGTTCATCATCATCAACATCGTCCAAGCGTTGCCTGTTCACTCGCTGCAGGTCATACCATCGGGTGACTCCACGAGACTTCAACTGGCGCGCCTGATTCAAGGCTTTCTGCAGGTCGTCGATGACATGGTTTGGACCCAGGATGTCTCCCCGAACATGATGTGGTGCTGCTCGGATGAGTTGTGTTTTTGTATGCCAGCCAGTAGGTCTTGACAGCGGGCTTGGAACCTTCAGTGGCGGCGTGCTCTTCTCGCATGACCGCATGAGCAGGTCCTAACCAGCGAATCTTGTTGAGCAATCCCTGTTTTGCATCACGCCAGAACCAAACTTTCTCGCCCAGGTGGAACTCCTTGTTCTGCCCTTGATAGCGGCGACCAAGGGCGCGTCGCAGCTTACTGTCAGCATCCGCTGTTGTCAGGGCAGTCTTGGCAGCGGTCCGACGTTGGGGGTTGGCCTCAAAGGTCTCATTGGTGCCAGCAAGTTGCGCTGGATTGAGATTAGAGTCCAGGAGAGTGGAAAGCTCCGGCTGGTAGCCCAAGACCCATTGCGAAGGCGAGAGCCCAGCCACGGAGGGAGCACCATTATTTGTTGAGGCACGATGTGAGCAATGGCTTCCCGGATTCCTTTCTTGTTGGTGAGATGGCGATCAGTGAGGTAGATCTCAATGGCCTTGCGCAGGACGGCGTGCCTCCTCTCCACGAGTGCCAGGCGCTCATGTGCTTCGCCTGGTGCAACTTGATGGTCGATGCCCCAGGATGTCGTCCAAGCTTCCATAGAGGCCCCAAGCCAGGATCTTCCTTCATCAGTGACCAATGCCTTTGCAGCTCCGAAGTGGCGACACCACATCTTCTCGAGGGCGTGCAAGTAGGAGTCGGTGGTCTCATCGTCAAGCAAGTAGGCAGCCATAAAACGTGTGCCAACATCGACCATGCTAAGCACAGACCATTTGCGGTCGTTGACCTTCAGGTAGAAGACATCAGCTTGGACAGTGTCATTGAAGCGTCGGCTCTGCGGCATTGAAGACGGAGCTGCCTCATTTGGTTTCTTGTACTTGGCGCAGGCCACACACTGATAGTGGCGAGCTGCTTCGATGACTGCTGGACTGGCATTGCGAGCAACCAGAAGATCCGTGAGTGCTTCTGCTGAAGGGTGTCCCAGGTTGCGATGCAGTCTCTGTACTGTCCTCAAGGCATCAGCGCGATGTTCAGCATGGAGTTTGACCAGGTGTCCAGTGGCCTTCGCTGTGCTGACTGCCAAGGCAGATTTCCAGTGGTGCGGAGGTTCAGGAAGAGAGATGGCCGCAGCCAAAGTTGCAGCGAACCCCGGTTGATAGTCTATATAGGTCGTGCGAGGACCAAAACCAGGAGCACTCCCTTCCAAGCGACAGTGGGGATGATCATGTTGACAACGAAGGTGAAGTGCTTCTGCCACTGCCTTCTTCGTGGTTTGAATCCGCGTGGGCTTCTGAGTCAACCTCCATTCGCCATCAGCATCAAGACACTGAGCTCCATAGCGACATTGATCGAACTCAGCTGCATATCCTGGAAGAGACTTGAGGGCCTTTGTCTGCCAGCTGAGGGCATGCTTGGGCTGCTCAAGGTGGGCATGTCGAGCACCTTCAACTTGGGCCACGTAGACTCTCTTGCAAAAGAGAAGATGTCGTTGATGATGATGTTCGCGGCTTGCGATCAGGGCTTCACGTTGAGCATCAGTGCGACAAGCCAATGTCTGCATCCTTGACCAAAGCTTGTCAAGACTGAAGCGCTCGACGGTCATGCCCATCGTCTCAGCCAGTTGAGAGGTACGGCTGTGGCCACAGTAGATCTCCCAGAGCACACGCTTGGGGTTCTCTTCAAGACGCAGCTCAGCGGTCACATAGGCCTCGGTCTGCTTGGTTGCCTGAAGAAGGCCAAGTTCCATAGTGTGCAGCTGATGGCGCTTCAGGGCCTGATAGGCGCAGTCCATGCCATTGTCCTTGAGCAGCTGTTCATCGGCAAGGAAGATCTCCTGCAAGTGCAAATGACTGCCTGGAACTTCTTCGGCAATGTTCAGGCTGAAGTTAGCCTTGGTGGGTTCAGCAGAACTGTCCATACCAGAGGTGAGCAAGAGCAAATACTCACCGTGACGGCCGATCAGCACAGGTTGCCAAGGTGATGACCCGAAGCGGACTCGCTTGCCACTGAAATCGATGCTCATGTGCAAGGCCTCAATGACTGGTCGTCCCATGAGTCCCCATGAGCATACAATATTCGATTTTAGTTGTTGTAAAGTTATGACTAACTTACCCTAGAAGAAGTCAGTTATATCTTAGTTATAACTCGAAGTTATATCTAAGTTATTTCTTATTTATAAGTTCCATAAGTAGTTCATAACTTACTTATAACTAAGAACTAACTACCTTCTTTTTCCCAAAAAAAGATGCATTTTCCGCGTGCAAACGGAGAGATCTCAGCCAAATGCTACAGCCAAATGCTACAGCCGATGCTAGATCTCGCTTCAGTGTATGCACTCGATACTTTGATCGATCTGTCGCCACCAGCTCGCCGGTAGCCATCGAGTCGGTTGGTCCACTCGATGCCAGGTCACCTCGTCTGTCAGACGCCACGTCGAACCCCACTTGGTGGATCCAGAGAACCGCAGGCGGTTGGAGCAGCTCAAAAGGAGTTTCTCGCCAACGGGTGGCCGACACAGGGCCGACGAAAGGCCGATGTCACGAAATGCAACCCTGCAGGGGGTGTGTGGTATGTATACATGTATTGGGGCCGACATATGGCCGACACGGCGACGGCGACGGCGTTCTGACGTGGGGCCGACACGCGGCCGACAACCGAAAAAAACTTATACGTACAGAATGTCGTCGTATAGATACAAACATAAATATATATATATACAAACAAAAGGGATATAGATATAAGGCGAATCTATGTTTCCACCCCGCCCTGCTATCGAAGCGCGTGTAGTCCTGCTGCTGCCTTCGTGTCTTCGCCATTGTCTCCGCAACGGTCGACATGCCTCAAACTAAGCTATTTATATCCGGCACACTTTTTTGTGAAACTCAGTTTTGTAACTATGAATAACTCGAAATAACTTTGTATAACTAAGACCTAACTAAGTTATAACTTCCACCTAACTCCACCCGGTTTAGTTATAAATTACTTACATCTAACTTGTTCTATCCTTACTAAGTTATAACGCTATGTTAAATTCCTTAAGTAAAACTATAGTTATACATACTTATTATCCTAATACAAGTTCTGTTATCGAAATACAAGTTTACTTGTAGTTCCCTAACTAAAGTTATAACTTACTTATAACAAAAATAGTATATCGTAGGAGCATTGCCAGGCACCAAGTAGCATTGGATGGTCCCATACTGGCCGTCAATCATGACGGGCAAGTCAACAGTCCAGCGGGCCTTGGCCGATGCATCACCGCCAAATTGGAATTGCCGTTCACAGCGAGCAAAGCGGATGGTGTTGACCGGATAGCCAATCTCGCTCAGATGCTGTACGTAGCGCTTGAATGGACCAAATCCGCTCAAGAAGGCTGAGGCACCAGGATCCAGCATGGTGGCTTCGGGATGGTCAAGTCCGTTCTCATCCTGGAAGAGGAGCATGGCCTGTTCGGCCTGCAGGGCCATCCCTTCAGTGGTCGTGGTGCTTGGCGCTGGCCTCTTGTTGCTCGGCGATGAACTTCCTTTGGGGTTCTGAGGGCAATTGGCCGCCCAATGGCCCACCTGTCCACAACGAAGGCAGGTCATGTTGGCTTTGGCTCGGCCCTTGGGATCGCTCTTGCCACCAGCGGAGGGAGGATAGCGGATCACGTTCGATCCTTTGCCCTTGGACTTCCCCTTTCCTTGGCCACAGCCTTTGTCTGGGCCCTTTCCAGTGGATGTTGAGGAGGTAGGAGAGGCCATCTGTAAGAGCGACCACTGGCAGGTAGCGGGCGAGCTTGAGCTGGTTGAAGCGTTGTCGAGCATCAACATAGGTGGCATAGGCTGAGTCATAGGCTTCGGCCATCTGTGATGGATCATCCCCGAAGCCCTCAAGGTCGTCATTGGGGTCATCCTCGCCACCAAAATAGACAGCGTCTTCATCGAAGGCAGTTTCCTCATACTCAGGGAGATAGGGCTCTTCATTCTCATACCAATCCTCCTCATAGTAGGCCTCTTCCCAGTTGGGATCTTGAGACTCCTCATCGTAGGCGGCATAGCCTCGTCCCTTCCATCTCTGACATCGTCGGTCGTTGGAGTTGGACCATCCACCAGCCTTGTAGTCCTGTCCGTACAGGAGGAACAGGGCTTCCACAACAGAAGGCTTCTCCAAGGTCGGTGCTTTCAGTGTCACCATCTGCCTCTGTTCACGGGTAAGGTTGGCTCGTTTGAGCAAATGCCAACCTTGCACCTGACTTGGGAGCGTGATCTTGTGGCCGGTGATCTTCCTGTAGGCCTCGTCGTGGTCGGTGACGTAGGAGAGCAAGCTCTGCTGAGGCTTCCGTTGGAGGTTGGTGAAATAGCCTTCGAAGTCATTCGGAAGGAGGACCCTGTCATCGTACTCGAAGTTGCGATCAAGGCGTTCCAAGATCTCGCTAAAGGCACCCTCCTTCTCACAAGCCTCAACAGGATAATCCTCGAAGAGGCGCCAGACCACACCTTGGAATGATCCAAGGATGTTCAAGACGGCTTCACCGCCCCTCTTGCTGAGGAGCATCTTCTTCTGCAGAGGAGCCGCTTGCGGTACTCACGGTACTCGGATGGCTGGCCATTGAACAACGGAACGTAGGAGTCGCGCAGGTTCTGGTAGTCTGCGCTCTGGGCTTCTGCAGCCTGCGTCGTCGTTGGCATGAAGGTCCGGCTTCACCGATGTGCTCTGGTTCGAGGAGGGCCAGGAGCGCGGCAAAGCGTTCGTGACGTAGGTCTTCCGCAGGACCTCGAAGGTGAGGACGCAAAGGTCAACCAGGAGCCGTAGCTCCGCTACCAATGCGAAGCAAACGACCGCACCCGAAGTCGATCAGCTCGAAAAAGAAAGGATGGTACGCGAGGTACCAAGCCGCGCGGCCTTTTCGCATGATCGAATCCCACCCGTGTTGAGGTGGTGAAAGGTTTGCGGTTCCATGAAAACATGACTCACCGCCCTGGGACCTAAGTGACATGCAGTCAACTTCACACCAGGAAACATTGCAAAGTTGTCCTCTCCATGCTGGAGGAGTGTGGCAAGGGACCAGGGCAGGATGCACAAAGCTTTAACATTGCGATTGCGGCTTGCTCTCGGGCAAGCCAATGGCAGAAGGCGGGTCATGAGTCATGTTTGACGCGTGATTTGGTTCGAAGACCCCATGGCTACAGAGTACAGTGGTCCACCGCTACATTGCCCAAGCACCAATACATTCAATGCAGATGTTCAGGGATCTGCAGTTCAGAGGAGGTTTTATTTTTCTGTTCAAAAACCTAGCTGCCTAGCTTGGGTCACAAGAATAGTATCCAGAGTGGGTGGCACAGTCGCAACAAGTTCAGTGGGTTCTGTTTGGCATTGGTCTTCATCAAAAGAGCTCCAACTGATGCCATCCACTCAGGCCGCTTGCTGAATCTATTTGCATCGCAAACAGTCAAACAGTCTCCTCAATCAATCTGTTTGAGACCCTTGAAGAGGTGCACCATGTTTGTCATACATGTGTCAAAACACTTGTGGACCGTCTTTGAATGGTCGAAAGCACATGGGTGTTCCTGTCCAACTCTGGCCGATAGGAGTCCCTGTGGCCAATACGAGCTCTTTCACCGGTCATACTCCCAAAAAGAAAAGGACCGCTTGAGTTCTTACTCATTCGATCACTTGCCCATAAAGGTGCGATGCACATCGGTCCCAGGAATGCAGGGCGCATCCCATGCAAGACGGCGAGCAATGCCCTGCTCGGCTTGAAAGCGAATCAAAAAGCTCAAAAGGTCACGCAAGAGACCGGTCGATGAACAGTGGCGTGCTTTCGCCCACTTCACGCATGACCGAGCCCTTTCATTTTCAGCCGATGTATCGCCCACACTATTCAGAACGAGGGGGCATCAATCGAACGGTCGAAAGCGCATGTGGACGTTCCTTTTCAACTCCGGGCTGATACGACCGCGGTGCCCTAGTGAAAGAAGACATGGAGCTTAAATTGTTTTTCACAAGCATGCCCGTTGGATTCTTCAAGACCTTCAAAGAATGCACTCGAGTCCTCCTGCTTCGCAAAAACAAAGGTGTGGAAGCAGCTTCGAAGCTTGAAACGGCCTCCTCACAAAACAACAATATATAAACAACATTTGTCCGCATTTTGTGGTCTTCTTCGACTCCGTCAGGCCATTGACCTCCTAGAGGCGCCTTTCATGTGTCGCGCAGAGGGAGGTGGCCGCCTTTTTCGGCCATTACGCAGACAGAGAGGT